TAAATTCTAGATATTATTATTAATTGGCAGTTTGCTGAGATGCTAGGTAAAGCTGATGCTTAAATAACTTTCCTAATCATCCATAATCCTGTTTGTATTGGAGATTTAGGGAGAAGGCAAGACTAGAGAAACAGCTCCTACTTACTTAGAATTTACCTGCTTAACCCACACCACGCCCTTATACATTACTCCCAAATAAGTGTCTGTGCTAGGAGTTCCACAGAAACAAAGGGTGAAAATATGGTCTTCCCCACCCTGTAAATTTATATACCTTAAGTGATTCTAACATAATGTAAATTCCTAAGATGAGGGATTACTTCATTCTTTTTATTTGTATCTCTAGCAAATGGCATAAGGTGGGCCCCATAACAGGGCAGCTCAATTTATACTTTTTTTTTTTAATGTGAGGCAATTGGGGTTAAGTGACTTGCCTAGAGTCACTCAGCTAGTGAGTGTTATGTGTCTGAGGCCAGATTTGAACTCTGGTCCTGTGCTCTATCCAGTGCGACACCTAGCTGCCCCAATTTATACTTTTTGATTGATTGATATAATAATCATAGTTTCCAGTTATATAGAGTTTTACAGACATCACTTCATTTGAGACTCAAAAATAACTTGGTACCTAGTGTAATATTTACCAAGATAAGGTCAAAATGGATACATGACCTAGACACAAAGAGATTTTATAAGAAAATTAGAAACACATGGAACATTTTACTCATCAGACTTATGGATAGGCAAACAATTTATGAATATGTAAGAGATAGAAAGCAAAGTTAGATTTAAAATGGATAATTTTGATTACATTAAATTAAAAAGTTTTGTACAAATAAATGTAGCCAAGATGAGAAGCAAAGCAGAAAATTGGGGAAAATTTTTGTAGATAGTTTATCAGATAATATTATTATCCCCATTTTGGAAGTTAGAGAACTAAGTCTCAAAGAGGTTAAATTATTTTTCCAAGGTCACACACCTATCAAGAGGCAGAACTAGAACTCAAATTAAATTTTTCTCACTTTTCTGACTCTTAGAATGAGGAGACCATCTGGTCCACTTCCTACATTTTACAGGTGGGAATTTTGGCCACAATATTATCATCCACCAAGGGG